ATCATTGTAAGTTCACCTAGCATAAAATCTGCTGGGGCTAGGCCTTCAGGCACTCTAGTATGGGCCTTACCGATCACATCTAGAGCGTAAGTAATGCATTTAATATTCAAACCAGTAGGCAATTTATACTTAAACGTAGGTGCACTGCAAAAACAGTGGTGTTAAATTCAACACCATAGGTGTTAATATTAACACCATTCCGGTATCTATATCGGAAAACACCAGTTGGTGTTATTTAACACCAAGGTCTGGATTTGAATGATTCAATTCTACTCTTGGTGTTGCAATTCAATTCTATTTTTGGTGTTAATATAAAATCCTACACCATTTTCTGGTGTAACAATGAATCTGATTTCTGGTGTTATTTAACACCACCGCCTGGAATGAAATAATTTTAATTCTACTCTTGGTGTTGCACTTCAATTCTATTGTTGGTGTTATTTTACACCAATTCTAGAATTAAATAGTATAATTCTGCTCTTGGTGTTGCAATCCAATTCTATTTATGGTGTTAATATAAAATCCAGCACCATTCTTCGGTGTTGCAATAAATCCTATTTTTGGTGTTATATAACACTAAAGGTCTACTACTTTTCTACTCTTGGTATTGCAATTCAATGCTAGTCTCAGTGTTTAAAAAACTCAACACACCATTCTTTCAACACCAACAATTCATTCCAGCTCACTCCATCTTAACACATGCACAGAAAATATTCAAATACACACAAGAAGTGAAAAGAAACAATTTTTTTTCGTAAACAAAAACACATGGTGCTTGTTTAATCAATAAATTAAACAACTTGTTTTCATTCATGTTGAAATCAATGATGCTTAGCGTTTTTATCTTGTATGGTTCAACATTAAATCCTTTTGTCATGTATTCAAAATCTGTGACTCATTTGTCTGAATACAACAAAACACACTTTTTTAAATCATTCAAAATCTGTTATTATGAATCCACCCTTATAAGTAAAAAAAAAAGGATGAAACAAGTAACTAAAAATCATTCAAAATCTGTTATTATGAATCCACCCTTATAAGTAAAAAAAAAAAAGGATGAAACAAGTAACTAAAAATTTTCCAATATAAAAACTTTAAACAATGTCATAATTCCTTTCAAGGAATGAAAAATCAAAGTCGTTTCTAATAAATAGAAACTAAACAGGATGCAAAATGCATGTATAAATGAAGACAAAACAAAAAAAACAACAAACATTATGCTTCTACATCAGAGTGAATTATGTAGCTAATAAGAATTTTGACACATTTCACCTTGAATCCTAGTACATGCATGCTGAAGGAAAATATCACAGAATCTTTTTCATATGAAATATACAGAGTGCCCCCCCCCAAAAAAAAAAACCTTGGAAACTGCTAGTATAATCTGCAGGCAGACTCTCGGCTTCGGTTTTTCGCAAGTTTCGTAGTGCATATTTCAGAGTCTGCAGTCAGAGACTACTTTCACTCATATCATGATCCCTTAAAGGGAGCATAACTGTATGTGTATATGTAGTCTCTAAATGCAGACTCTACATCGTGCACTATGCAAATTGCAAAACCGAAGCCAATGGTCTGTGCCCGCAGACTAATTATAGTATGACTTTAATTTCTTATGCTAGAACAATAGCAACACTAACAAATCTCATCCAGCAGTTTTGTTGAACAAGATTTTTTTACCACAGGCCTGCAACCATTGAGATTCAGGATGATTTAATTATTTTAGGGGATTTTTATCTCCTAGCTTCACTGCTTGTAAAGGGTTAAACAAATGTTTCAAAAACATTGAAAAAACACTATAAATTCTACATTCATTCTAATATAGGTGAACATTCTTTTACAGCTTTCTGTTTACAAACATATTCCATTTTACATCGTGCACTATGCAAATTGCAAAACCGAAGCCAATGGTCTGTGCTCGCAGACTAATTATAGTAAGGCTTTTTAATGTCTTATGCTAGGAAGCAGCCTTCAAGAACAATAGCAAAACTAACAAATCTTATCCAGCAGTTTTGTTTAACAAGATTTTTTTTTACCACAGGCCTGCAACCATTGAGATTCAGGATGATTTAATTATTTCAGGGGATTTTTATCTCCTTCACTGCTTGTAAAGGGTTAAACAAATGTTTCAAAAACATTAAAAAAACACTATAAATTCCACATTCATTCTAATATAGGTGAACATTCTTTTACAGCTTTCTGTTTACAAACATGTATTTCCCATTTTACTCCTGGGAGAAAAAATCAAAAAGTAAAATTATGCATTTCTATATCAACTAATTCGCTGCTCGTTTTTCCAACAGGATATAAACAACAACAACAAAAATCAGTCCATGCACTTCTAGTTCACTGGCTTTCATGCACAAACATCATAGAATTGTTTTTCTTGTAAGAAAAAAAAAGAAAATATACAACAGCTATTTGACTTCAATTTGGTTTCGAATTAACCAATTTAAAGATGTTAACAATTAAGAGTCCAAAATATTATTGATCAAAATTATTTTTAAAACCAATTGATACCACTAAGCAAAACCAGACATTAGCTTGAAAGCTTTAAATTACTTAAAAAGTACATGCCTTGGTGCTACATACTTCCTCGAGTCTGTCTTCGACAAAGTTGTCATCAAATCTAGTGGTTTGTAGTCAACAAGTTCCTTTTGATTCTTCACTACATGACAACGTGGAAAACTAAATTCTACTGCATAGGCATGATAGTGTGAATTGTAATACACTGTATCTAATTGGACAAGTACAAAAAATACAGTGCTATTGTGTACAATGATATGCTCTATTTGACCAAACAGAGGAAGCTCGCTAACATCATGGCAGACCAGAAGTGACGACTGATGATAATGTGTTCCATGTACTTTAACCCAGTTGGCATCAAATAATTCAGTAGAAAGATCCTCTACTTGGATTTGCTCTTGCACAATCTGTCCAATATTTTCATCTAAATCTGACAAAAGTAGTGAACTACCTGGCCCAACCTCCAGATATTCCAAAGGATGGTTTGACTGAAGATGGAACGTTAGTGCTGTCTGATGTTTTTTGGCAAGTGATTTACAAATGTTTTTGTAATTACGCACAGATTCTGCAACACGGCCAAAATAGTGATGTTTCGCTTCGTACCTCATACACCATACATGTATGAGTGGCCCAACTTCTCTCAAACACGTTGGATAATGCACCATAAAGTGGTGTTTTGGCAACAACCTTCTGTCAGGAAAGGTTTTCTGGAAATGTGTGTGATGTTCTTCAGTAAGAATAGACAATTGGGCTATCAAGCCTGCTGTCAATTGAGGAGCAAAAATAATGTCCATACAATCTAGTAATCTAAGTAGCAATTCCCAGTAGACATTTCCTTCTTCAATGTCTTGAGCAATTATGAATGGCAGATTTCGAATCAAGCACCATGCTTGCATAGCCTTCTGTCCAACATCATTCCTAGCTGACCTAAGTTTAATAAAGGATGGTTTGTTCTTGTTATCTGTACGGTTTAAGCAATGGCTGGCGACTCTCTGATTCAGTTCATCTTGGGACAAGAGGGGCGGTTGCCTTTCATATATGAAATACTCTAGAACAAGTTTCAGCTCATACTGAACTATGCCTTCCAAAAGATCATGCATTATATCTAGTGAAAAGTTTGCCAAGACATGAAAGTAAATACAATCATTCAATACAGTCTTTTGTTTCACTCCAAACACATGTGACTGGGTAGTTTGAGCTTCAGCTTCTTCTAAATGTTGCTCATAAGTCTGCCTGGTGCGCATATCCATTGAAACCTCTTTGAATTTGTTCTGTGCCTCTTCCTTACTTGTAACACATAATCGACAGTAATAATGAGCAGAAAAGCTCTCTACAAATCCCAGTAGGGAATTAGCACCAAGATTATCAGCACTTATTTGAGTAATGGTCCCCTTCTTCACAATTCCATTAGGGAGAGCAATGCCAACTGTTGACAGGATATTAATGTCTTTTACAATGTGCTTGAGAATAGCATTAAATCCATATTTCTTGGCATCTTCAGCATACCATAGAGCTATAAGATTGATATTGGAAAGATTGGAATTATACTTTGGTGGCAGATTTTTCAAAATGAAATATAAAGCACCTATCTTGTGAATTTTTGTTTTTGAACCAATGGGGTTCACAGTCTCGAAATCATCATAAAAACAGTGAATTTGGAGGGCATTCTCATCTTCATGGAAAAGAGGGGTTTTCTCAAATTGTGAACCATCACAATAATCTCTCATTACACCATCTGTGCTCTTATGGTCATGAGTAGCAAAATGCAATATATCTTTATTGCTTAAAAGCTGCTTCAAAGAATCTAAAATGGGAACGTAAACAAATGTATCTTCAATAGCAATCTGTTCATACTGCTTAGTTCTTTTATTGAGACGACTATCATATCGGATGCCTAACTTGATTTCTTGTGGTTCAACAAGTCCAATTGATTCACAATACTTTGTCCGCTTATATTCTGAATTCAAATTTTCAAAGGGCTTTTCAAGCATAGCAAAATGTGTTTGAATCTCCTTATAAGCCTCGGATTCTATAGGCAGCTTATGTTTTAAGAAAGCAGCTGTAACGGCTGCCGATGCACTTTTTACTACATCACCTACAATCGCACTGGTTGTTTCTACTACATCATTTACAACTTTTCCAGAGTTTGCACTATTTGCTGAAAATTTTGAAATTACATTTACACACTGCCTGTTCAAGGTATCTACAGATAAAATGTCATCTTCATATACATCCTGATCTTCAACAATCTCATCATTATTAATATTGTATTCTTGAAGACTTTCAAGACTTTCTTCAGGAAAGTCACTCACTTTATCATTTTCATTAGACTGCTCTTTATTATCTGGAAAATCGGTTTTAAGGTGAGTCTGCAAATGTCCCCGAAATCCTCGAAAAGTATGAAATGTTCTCGCACAAGCTCCCTGCCCACAGGTCAATACTTCTTTACCATCTTCAATAACTCCATTTTTCAATCTCAAATGTTGAACCAATTTGGGTATTGCAAACTGTTTGTGGCATTTGAAGCAAATCATGGTGCTAACAATTTCGATCTAATTTCACGTACTCTTGGTGTTTCCCGGGACACTCCGATATCGATTTCAAAAATGGCAGTCTGGACAAAAGTCCAGAACTGCCGCAGAGACAAGCAGTACTGCAGGCCAAAGACAAAGTGGGTCTTGAAGAGTAAATCTACTGCTGCTTCGACCGTGCGTGCCGAACATGGAATGGCCTTGTGATCCACAATGATCATGTAGTTGGTGATTCGGGCCTTGGAATTGCCAATTGCCAGAAGGAACGGTTGACTCTTGGTCTCTTTTGTGTTGTCGAGGAATGCTTGAATACTCCCTCCTGTCTGTGTTGAAAACAAATTATTTGTATAGAATGTAACTAGCACTCAACGCATTTCAATACTCAACGCATTTCAATGAACAACATATTTCGATCAACATTTTTAAAAGACAGCCTTACATGTAGTACTGGGGGAAATTGTGTTTTTACAAAAGGGTTATTGGACAATAATGTAGGACATAAAACCAAATCAAATTTACATCAAAGAAAAGAATTGGAATTGGTCCATCAAATGATATAACATCAAAATATCAGATGATATTTTTTGTAATGAAATACAATTTTTCTTACCCTGTAGAGGGGTAAAAATGCAAGTACTTTCAAAGCTTGTTTTATGTATATGATTAAAAAGGGTCTTTCTAATGTGGTCAAGACATTTCAACTTCCACAAAAGGAGTACGAAAAATAAAGATACTGCAATTTCTGCACTATTATTAACTTGCAGCAAATTTGTGGCATGAAATATTCCTTTTCATTTATTGATTCTCCATGTAGGGCTGTGAAAATCAAAGGCAACATGCCTGATATATCACACAAGTTGTTACTATGTTTTCATACACAACATGTTCCTAGTATTTGTTTGCAAATCTTGATGTCTACTGTTCTAGTTTATTTTACTCCGACCAATTTCAAGGCGGGTGAAGTTTTTGAATAGGCCTAAATTTCTCGAGCACCTTCTCTGTCCAAATCAGTCTAAGCCTCTTCATGTAAGAGATCATAAACCAATATAATTGTTCTCTTTGAACACACATCACGATGCTTTCTGAAACTTTTTTTTTAATGCAGCAAGAATGTGTTTTATGTGACAGGGTATTACCGGTACTTAATATTTACAGTTCTCTTTCGTAATGAAAAGCTAAATACCTTCTGAAATTGAATAACCCTCGAGAGAGCTGAAGAAATGGACACTTTTGCTGACGCAGCTTTGGACTTCCCTTGGCTTGCAGGAGGCAATAGGCACAAGAGGAGGAGGATAGCAGATGTGCTGGAATTCCATCCTGTGCATTACAAAATGAAAATGGTTATTATTAAACAGGCTTACATGTTGATCAAGGTGAAAAATAGAAGTTAAATGTACCAAAATAATTACAAACTGACCTGCTAAAATTTGAATCAAAATAGCCTGTAACAAGAAACTATTATAAGAAATAAGTATATAGTCGAGGACTTATCAATATTATAGCCAAAGCATGCAAGTGGCTGTTAATGCAGTTTAGGGGTACTAAACCAAAAATCCAATTGATGCCAGCTTGGCACCCTTGGAGAAATTTTACTGACACTTATAGCAACGCCTTCTTCTTCTTTCTTATGAGAATTTATACAAAGGGGGATGGGAAAAAAGAAATCAATAGGAAAATAATAAACGGGATATTTATGCATGGGAGAAGGCAACATTCATGGCAAAGCACCTAACCTAGATTGTTCTCTGTTGACACATATATAACAAACTCTTTAGTAGCATAAGTTCATGTTTTTTTTTTTACAATTTTTTTCTTGTTCTACTGAATTTAACATGCTTCTACCCAATTTGACATCCTTTTCATGATTAAATCACAAAAATTGCATCAATACTGGAATCAAATGTTGCAATTAACAATTTATCAAATATGTCCCCTATGGGCCACCATATTTTTCAAAGTTAACTAATGAAGAAAAACAAAAATATCATGATTTTCTGAATTCTAAAGCATTTATCTTCAAATAAAGACAGAGTAAACACAAGCAAGCTGCTAATATGTAAATGCAGGGTCCTGTGGGGTCGATTCAAGTTCATATTATAAGATAATAAGCCATGCATATCATATCTGAGGAAGAAAAATAACAAAGTGAACATATAAACATGATGCTTTGTTTCAAAACAGAAGCTCATTCTATTTCAAAAGTAATGATTGGCAATGTGATAATCCTTATAAAGATTCCACAATGGGCCATGCAACAAACTTTTTTCTTCATAATTATATAAATTTCTTCTTCATAATTATATAATTAATATAATAAAAGAATTATGGAGAGCATGTTCCAACTACAAATAACTTTGCCAAGTGGGCATGTAATGTAATTTTTTGTAATTCTCATTGCAACAAGAGTCCACATTATTTGAGATGCCCAATAACCCTACTGTATCCCAGCCTTCCAGATAAATATAATTTGTTGGAGGAGTTGACAAAAAAAAGGGGGGGGGGGAATTGTTTTAATTGGGATGGGTAATTTTTTGTGATTTCAGCATACTTGTCCCTTAATATACATTTTTAATGAGACTGCAAGCTCTTTGGTGGAATTCTCAATGGTGGTTTAAGACCAAGGTCTAAACTTGGTTCAAAACCATGGATTGGATTAGATTTGCATGTATTCTAAAACTTGTCCAATGAACATGCTTGTGTGAAGCACATATATGCTCAAATTTAAACTAACCTATCAATGGTTTATCCATGGTCTCAAATAAACCACCATCAAGAATTCCACCCTTTATGACATCGGAGGGTGCATTCAAGGGAATGTGCAAAAATACCTTCTTTATTTTGATCAGAACTGTCATAAGATGACAGAAGCTCCATCACTGTCAAGTTTCCTTTCTGCTTCAGAAGTTGTCTTGCAAGTGTAACAACCTTGGGCTTCAACTCGGGCCATTTGGTCAGGAAACGCGAGTGATTTTCAGGAAAAAGTTTCCGAAAATCTACCTCAATCTGCAAGAATACATGTAAAAGGAAAACGGGGAAAAGAGAGAAAAAATAAACTATGCATAATTTTACAGTACAGATACCCCAGTTAGACTAAATCAGCAATATAATAAGGTACCGTCAAAGCTCAGACCCCCATATATACACACCCCAGATCCAGGAAAAGGGGATTCTTCAAATCTATATTATTAATACGCAAAATCGCCGCGGGGGGTCCAAAACGGGGCAAAACGGTTCCTCAAAAACGTCTTTCCCCGACCCCGCTCGCCTCCGCCGTGGCGCGGGAACGGTGGCACAATTCCACGAGGCCTGTCTCCCGTAACCCGCGTGCCACCTCGACCCCGCGATCGACGTCCACGCCGTTAAACGCGGTTTCCGGGCGGCCGGGGAGGACGGGCGGACGAGAGCACGGCGGGCGTCGCGGATTGCGAGGAGGCGACGAACCCGCGAGAGCGAGTCGGCAAGGCGTGCACCCGCCCTCTGTCTAATTATCAAAGAGAGACGAAGAGACACACGATGGACGAGAATCCACTCGCGTCAACGGGTGTAGCAAGTCCCATTGTAAAAGGCTGCGGCGTATCCCGAGTAAGACCTCTTGCTATAGGATTCGTTTTGTAGCATGTAAGAGAAATACACATCAACAGACGACTCACCCGGGTGATGGGATGTAGCCAATATGTACGCTCAACGGGTTGAGCTGACCCGTGTTATGCGTCTTTCTATAGGATATGCTTTGTAGGCCAGGCGCCCACAGTGTACGTGTATTACACGCTCTCAGGTCACACACATGCACACACCACAGTCGATTCGAGTCGAGGCGATTGCGACAACTGGCGCAAACCATGGACCTATTTTCACGTAAAATCTCTACTCTGAAAATAATTATACAAATTCTGTGATCTATGCCAACATAATCATAGTCCAAGCTTCTGTTTTATTGGTCTTTTCATGAAAACTACATCGAAATCACAACAAGAATGGCGCAAATAGATCTGTGATAGTACGCCTTCACGTGAGAGTTCAGTTGCAAACTGCCTTGAGTCCACAGTGTATTGCCACGGCAGCTGAGCGCTGCTGTCGGGGGTGCTGTCGGGGCTGAGTGTGTGAGCGTGGAGTAGCGGTGACCGGAGTAGCCAGGTCTGTCCGTTGTGTGAGGAGAGTCTAAACAACAATTTGAAATTGCTATTATTGCCCCGATTTCAATATAGTTTCGTGAATAGATGTATGAAACCTGGGCTTGGATTGTGATTATTCTGGCCATGTATAGTTGTATACTGAATTTTGATAATCATTTTTCAAAGTAAAGTTTTCACAAGAAAATCAGTCGGTCGTCATGGTCGTTTAAAAACATAATACTTTTAGTATGATACAGTTCTTGCATCAAATCAATTTTTAAAGTATGGGGGGGGGGGTCAGGTAACTCAAAGCGATTTGAGTGCAGGCGTAGTGTCCACGGGTACAAAGGGCTGAACCCCCGAAAGCTCGGGGGTTTTAGGCATTTAATTACGGTCAGATGAGCTTTTAATGCCTTATTTGTGACACTGGCAGGTCGATCACTAATTGGCGTGGGGTCCATAGTAGAGTTGCGTACCAACTACGCTGAGCTGAGAGTAAGCTGGCCTACGTTACTATACCCTGAGGGACGCAAAAAAGTACGCAAGATGGACGCAAACAATTTAATATGTTTAACAAAATTCGCGTACTTTCGGCGTAGAAACTTGACACAGAAAGTACGCCCTTTTTTACGTAACACTACGCTACTAAACTAAACAAACTGCATCTCTAAATTAATTAATGAACTAGATGGAACTTCAACTGCACGCAGTCGGAAATGATGCCTCCGCCATAGGGTGATTTTACAAACCAAAACAGATACAATTTTTAAAATTTAAGTTTGATTGTAATCCATTAACAGGTTCTCAGAATATCGTGATTACAAGCTATTTTTCATATACATGTATGAATGACCCTTTGATCTTTGACCTCATGGCCCAAAAATCCAACCAGTTCATTGGCTCATCAAGATACATACATGTATGTGTACAAAGTTTGATGGCAATCTGTCAATGGGTTTTTGAGATGTGTAAGGCTTAAGGAAAAAAATACACAGGGGTGAACAAAAAATAAAATTGTTATAAAATTGCCTTTGCTGTGTTTATCACATTTATTAGTTAGACCAATGCATACATAATGCTCTTTTAATTTGACGGATAATGTTTGTCTTCAGTATAGGACAGGATGTTTTTAATCATGTCTTACAATATGTTTGAGAAATATAAATATAAAACTAAAATGAGAACAAATAAATACAAGACAAAAAAGCCCCTGTCAGCCCTAAAATAGCCCCTGTGGATATTTGTTCTCTCAATTAAAAATAGCTCTTATGAAAGAAAGGTATTTGGAAGTTGGGTAGGCTAATAAATTGATACATTTTCAAATAATATTGGTGGTGTTAAAAAAAGACTGCATGGAAAGATCAAGTGAAGTAATTGTATTCCCCATTTATTTTACATTTCAGAGGGTAAGTGCCTAACCCTTCCCTTCTCAGCTCCCATATCATATTCTGACTCACTGGATCAATGACACTGGTTGCAGATACCAACACATTATTACATGAGATATGACTTATAAATACATACGTTAAATACTATACTAAAAATAGTAATTTAAAAATCTTTACATTCTGTATTTAAATAGAGAGTTTTAATGTACAGTCTGAAGTACTATGAAAAAAAGTCATTTATCTGTTGAGATTTGTCAAACCTGTGTTCATATTGTAAATAAACCTGACAAAGTCCTGGGGTGGTATCCTAAAGTTGATCTTACTTGTTGATCTCAAGACCAACTTTATAGACCTCTCTAAGAAGTAAGATTGACAAAATTGGTATTTTCTATGTTGATCTTAGGCCAGTTTTTTAGGGCCGCATGTTATTTTGAATATTTTGTTTAAATAATTTTTTTCTTCTTCAATGAATAAAAACATGAAAATCATACTGTTAAAATGATCAACTTTTGATTAGAAATAAAGAAAACAAAAATTCTGGCAGCCATCTTGGAAAATAGCCCGAATGTCAGGTAGTATATTCGCAATATTTGCACCTCCTTCCTATTTTTGAAAAAGGCAGGACGCTAAACATTTTTTTTAAAAATGGCCTTAGGACGATCTTAGCATGAATAATAAATACCGGTAATTAATCTGTGCCATGAAGATGTAATCTAACGAACTTAGGGCATGGCTTTGGCTACTCGAGTTTGATTGTTCACTATTAAAGTGTGCGTTATCTTATCATGGGGGACCAACAAGCACCGATTGAGGCAGTTTTTTTATATAGAGGGAGCAAGTAGCTACAAGTAGTACAGTGTGGCTTTAAGTTTAGGAGCATGTTGATCCTAAATGTGGTTATAGAATACGACTTATCTTAGGACAGGTAATTTACATAAATGTGCATACACTAAAGATCAACTTTTTGGAGTTGATCTTATCTTGAAAAGTTGTAGATATTAAGATCAAGTTTAAGACTTGCTCTTTAATTGAAATTTTTCCTTACAGAATGTCACCCCTGAAGGCTATGAAGATTAAGAAATCAACTCAATTTTGAGGGATCATACAAAGTGGTGCATTTAAGTAACGTAAATTTAATCATGGAAGAAACCCAAATGGCTGATCCTTGTAGCATTTTTCTCCGTAAAAGATTTCCCACCCATTAAAACTAGTTGTTTTGTCACTATGTTATGGGAGTTTACCATTGTATTCAGAGACGCCAAGTTTAAAGATCGGCAATGCGTGACATTTTAATTTTTTCTGCGCACGAGCGCGCGTGCGAGGGTATAACACACGTATAAGGTATAGCCTTTTTTCTAAATCTAGCGCGCGCCGTGCGTGAGAGCATTTCCAGACCCTCCAAATGCGTGATGTCACGCCTAATGCGTGACACCTGGTAGCTCTGTTGTATTTTTCTGGGCCATCCTGTATATTGAAGGTTAACATCATGTTGCCATGTCCACATTGTGAATTTTGCTAATACACTCACATTGTTTAATAAAAGGTTTAGAATTATATGTGAATCAAAATGATTTTAAAACTGAAATAATACTTTTTATTGCAATCCTAATATAGATAACTAAATAGAAAGATGAAAGAAAAAAGGGCAAAGGTGAGAAACAGAAAAGCATGCAGTCTTAACATACATGTTAAAGGGATAATTGAGTTTTGGTATAGAGGGCGCTACACAATTGTTTTTTTGTGGAGAAAATGAAAAACTGAGTGTCAAATTTGAAAGAGCATACAATTTAAATGACAAAATCATTTTTGTTTGGTCAAAATCAGTTCAGAGACGGCTGAAATATCCATAAATATAACCATTTTTTATATTTGTGGGGCCTCGAAAATATTAAATAATTCTTAACTAGCCGATGCTTTTAAGCAGTTGCTGATGATCTCTCTATTTAATCATTATTTTAACAAAACATAACATGCTCAATTGTATTATCAAAATTGGATGAAACCAATGACTTTTTAGAGAACTCTCCCATGTGGTTTAACTGCTCTTTTTAATTGTTAACAGGCTTATTACTAAGTCCTTTGTAATTTTTTGTATACCAGTCGAGCATGGTGCAGTTATTAACTATTAGTTTTTAATGGTGCAGGTTTTGGTTACTAAAATTCAGTTTGACCAAAACTGTACTCTCTATACCAAACCCAACTATCCCTTTAACACATAGTACATGCCCAGGGCACATGTCTAGGGGATGTATGAGCTGTAGTTTTGATTGGCTAAAGCTTTGCACCAGAATCTTGTGCAGACAAAGAAGCACCTGTGCCTGTCTAATATACATATACTTTGCATATAGGAGGGAAAAATAAAGAAATTTCATTGGCTAAGAGTTTTGTCCCAGGATCTATCTATTTGAATATGATGTTTGATTGGCTTTCAGATTTGCTGCAGGATCCACAGACAAGGAAGAAGTTAACCAAATCTGCGCATGTCTGATAGGCTTGTGATTTGCATATTAGGAGGGTGATTTGCATATTAGGAGGGAAATATGAGGGATCTTTTATTTGCATGATAGATCTGATTTGCTATTTAAGATCCACAAAGAACCAATAGCCTCAGCTTCTTTGATAAGTTTATGTTTTGCATATGCTTTGCATATGAGGAGGGAAAAACAAATGA